TTCTTTTAAAAGAAAAGTCGGGGAGGAAACATTTAGCATTAGATTGATAAAGTGCATACTTTTAAATTAAAGAAAATATTCACATTCATCTGTTTAACCTAATTCATGTTCCTAAATATTAAAGCATCAAATGAAACTAGTTGTTACTCTTAATAAATCAGAGACACGGAAAAGACAATCTTCTCTGGTCATTGATTTACATGCCAGCATAGTTTGGACAGCAGGGGGCGAGAGTGAGCAGTACATGTGTATCCTTAAGGTGAGCGAGTGTGCTCAGTGGAACAGGCAAAACAATTGCTCTCATCTGGCGCTACAGCAGCACACAATCCTCTGGCACTTAAAATGAAAATATAATTTCTGTTACGTGTAAAAGTCCTTATACAATGCTGATGTGTAATATTTTTATATCAAGTATTTCCCTATGCAAATGTACCTAAATTACCTCCAAATAGATAAAAATTAATTTTCTTTCTTTTTTTTCCCCCCCACAGATTAGAGGTTTCATTGGCTCAGGTTCTAAAGTTTGTTAAATACAGCAGTGGACTGAAAAATGAATATAATGTGCGACTCCATTGTTGTTCATTTTTCTTTCAATGTCTTACTCTATACTGGGTATAAAGTGTTATCTTGTATCCACAGAAAAAAATAACTGCCCTTTAGTATTATATAGCCTTTGAAGATATTGCTTTGTGTTGGCAGCTCTGAGTATAATTTGTAAAATGTCACAGATTGAATTTATTTCTATTTATTTACTATCAGAAATGTATTTCATTGAACATCCTGCTATATTAATACTTATGCCTATCTCTATTTCCTTCCAACAGAAAGGAACAAAGGCCATGAAGGTCTTCTAGATATTGTGTCAACTTGGCATTTGAGGAATGCATTCCGATCTCCACTTTTCATTAGTACATAGAACATCCTCTTTCCTCACAACCTCATCACCAGGAAACACACATTTTTCTCAATCTTTGTTTCATTTGTATAAGACATGAGGCAATATGAATTTACTTTATTCCTAAGTTATCCAAGTTTCTAATATCTTTCTTGATATTCTATAATCCCTTTAGGAACTGGCAATTCATGACTTTTGTCCATTTTTCAATTGATTCATTTTTGAAACATTGATATTTTCATTTCTATGCAGGCTCTGGTAAATTTATGACAATGTACATTTCACAGCAGAAAATTATCTTTCAAGAAATCCATAGAAATTAAATTGCAGGTTTATTTCTGTATGTGACTATATTATGTGGCGCGGGGAGTTATCTGCCAAGAATTAAAAAGGCAAGAAGCACAGGAGAAGCATAAGAAATAAATGACTGTCCATACTTCATACCTCACCCCAACACACCTTCTCTCACCTACTGATTTCTTGTCAGTAGGTGTTGTAGAAAGAGAACGGATTGAGTTGTAAATCAAGATCTGCTCACAAATCTTTGTACAAAAAGCTCTGCACCAAAGGATAGTGTATCAGTTGCCACAAAGATAAGGTTGCTCTATGCAGGCAAAGACCTTTTGAACAGTTAAAAACAGAAGCCTCTTGATACCCACAGTACAGTGATCGACTTTATCATCCATTCAAACAGATTTTCCCTTCATCAGGGCATCTTTTCATTTTACTTGCTGTTCAAAACACTGGGACACAAAGGATGCTCTTCATTTTGTGTGTGACTGAAAAGAATCTTGAGGTAGGTGGGGGGGGGGAGCGGGGGGAGAGAAGAAGAAAACCCTTGCCCTAAATTCCCTTTCAAAAGTAAAGTGTGAAAAGACATCAAGCAGAGTACACAGGGTTATTGTTGAAAGAAAGTCAATCCTGCAAGCACAGAGTCCAAGGCCATCGGCAGAGGTTCATGTGCTTCCTCACCCACAGGGAATTTAAAAATAGAAGGGGAAAAAAATACAAGGAGAAAGGATTCCACTTGGCAAAATGGGATTTCTCATTGTCCCTCCTTTTGATTTTCATTAACATCTATGGGCACAGATGTTTCCTTTATCTGAATAATCCTAAAGTCAATGTTATAACATTGGCCCCCGTCTTCTGTCTTTCCAGAGCTCATGATGTATCACTTCATATTGTATTCTAAGCAGCAGAAATGTCAGATCTATCTTTTCATTCAACAGCAAAACAGAAAACCTGTTTGATTTAGTTGTGTGTGTGTTTTGTAATTTGTGTATCCTTGAAATCTCTCTTAGTAAGTCTTCTCGGTCAAACAAATACATTTTAATTGCAAATGATAAGCTGAGTTATAATTTAGAAAAATAAGCATAATCGATGTTAATTTATTTTACAAAATGATCAATAGTTATTGTATAAACATAACGGGCTTTCTTTCCTTCATGCCAGTTTGTTCATTTGATTTTTTCCAAACAGGGTAAAGAACGGACCCATCACAAAGTCCTTCATGGCATCATTATGTATAATATGAAGTATAGATTTATACATAAAGGTCATTACTTCATAAATTGCCTTAGGCCTTATTGTATAAGGATAAGATTTTAGTTGGATATGCTTATTGTTAAGCAACTAATGAAAATAATTTGCATTCCATAGTATGAAAGCCTTGAGATATCATAATCTTTATTGCAGGTAAATTTTGGTATTAGATTTTTTTTTCTTGGATTTCACCTGGAAGTTTATTTATGGACAGTGAGCAAATTGAGAGCAAGAACATATTTATACTCCTAATGCCTAGTAATGCACTTGGCCTGGGGAGCTCACTGGAAAGAAAAAGAAAGAAAGAAAAATACTTTCAATGGCCAAACTAACTAGCAATAAAGCAGATTCCCCATGTGTAGCTTTTTGTTGTGGTGGTGGCAAATACAGCAGCAGAGCAGAACTTTAAGTCATGAGTTTTAATTGCTTAAATGTGCTGAGTATAATTCCTGTGATTAAGAATTTATTATATTGCTATAAATACCAATTGATGTTTATTAAAGTTTTTTCACACTTTTACCTCTATGAATTTCTTCACACTCTTCTTATAATCCACCCGCTTACATTTTACAACAAAAGTAGAAGTTAAAATCTGGAAGTACAACTATCTCTGAACTGAGACAAACAATGAAGAAGAAAGGACACATCAGATCCTCGTGCTATCTTCTATCAAATTTGTTTTATCTTTGTTTGAACAAATGGAAAGGAGAATCAAAGTCCGTGTTTGAGTGTTTATTGTGCATGTAAAGATGCATCACTGTATATAGTTTACTACTCTTCAATTAGTTGGTTTATTGTTCCATTCAGGCAAAATGATCTTCTACCCTCAATTCATATTGTTTGTTTCTCTGCTGACAAAACCCTCATCCATTCGGTGACAGCCTATTCCATATCTTATCAACTGTTCTTACCACAAATACAAATTTCCTTCTGCATAAGAAATGAGAAGGACTCCGGTTGTCACCGTCAATTTCCCAATGGTTCTTTATTGTTATTAATGTCAATTATTTTCTTAAGTACTATATTCATTTGGCTTAGTCAGTTAACATTAATTACCTCTTTGCTTCAATAAGCACTTTTTGTGCATATATCCTGTGGCAGCCACTGTGCTAAGGGTAGATGGGACTTTGAAATAAGACCACTTCTGCTACTGAGAGTTGCGTGTAATTTAGAGTTGTCCTATTGTAAGGGGTGTATTTTGACTTTTTAAATTATTTGTGCTATATCACAGAGCATTCATTCTATGAATGTGGCCAATATATGTGGGCAGCTATAAACCAGGTGCCTTATAGACATTATGAGGGTGTGTTAATTTTAAAAACTTAAATAAGGCATTAGAAAATAGATTATTTTTTGGTTTTTGAAGCATAAAACAACTGAGTGCCTTGTGGAGCCTAGGGATGATGGGGAAACTGAATATTTGGAAGGTAATTTATATATGTATTCTACCTAAAGTAAGGTTGGCTTACTTAGATGCTAATATAGAGGACTGATTTTATAAATTGATTTTTTTTAAACTTTGGGATAAAATAAAACCCAAACTTTCTTTTTCTCCCACCATGTCTGCTTTCTTCACCAGGCTCCATTTCACTAGACAAAGACTTTAATTCAAATAATCTCCATATCAGAGTTTTGAGGATGGAGTCTACATAGCATGTTTAACCATTCCATCCCAAGATGTTATATATATATCAAAACACTACAAAGTTAAATCTATGTTTCCTCCCCAAAACATACTGAGGCTCACTGTACAAATCTACTGGAAGTAGATTTATAATATTTTCAGTCAGAAAAAAAGCAGTTTTCTGGATAGGGAAAGCATTAAGGTTAGTTCTTATTTCAGCATCTCCAATTATTTCAAACTCACACTGGATTGATTATTTAACACATCTAAAAAAAACCAAAATAAACTAATAAACAAATTGTAACAATATAAAGTTTATAGATGATAGTTTGTCTATAATTTCTCTATGGTTAAAGCACATATTGCTACCTGTCTGATCTAAGTCAGAGCCTAGCGGTGAGACTTTGCAGTAGGTTTTCCAAATATCCCTTCTTTTTGCATAAATTGCCTTAGGCATTATTGTATAAGGATAAGATTTGAGTTGAATATGCTTATTTTTAAGCAACTAATGTAAATAATTTGCATTTCATAGTATTAAAGCCTTGAGATATCATAATCTTTCCGGCGGGTAAATTTTGGTATTAGATTTTTTTCCCTTGGATTTCACCTGGAAGTCTATTTATGGACAGTGAGCACATTGAGAGCAAGAACATATTGATACTCCTAACGCCTAGTAATGCACTTGTCCTGGGAGCTCCTTGGAGAGAAAAAGACAGAAAGCAGGAACAGAAGGACCGACTTACTTCCTAGTCCCACATCCAACTGTGATCAACAGTAAGGCTGGGTTTACACGTTCACAGTTTACAATAAGCCTGTAATTTGACAATAAATTCAGAATTTTTAAGCTAAGAATCTGTAAAATGGCTAGTTATTTATATCTACATAAATAGTTTTAATGACAGAAACAAATCATTCTAGAATTAAGAAAGGGATACGCACCCAAGCCTTCCGATTCAAACAGACATGTTTCATCCACACCTAAATCTCTGCACCAGGATAAGAAATTTGCTGTGTTGTCTCGGGCGAAAAAGGAACCCGAGGGCGCACTGGCTTTGCATGGGATCTTCTTCAAGGGCAGACTCTGAAAAACAGCGAAATCTCCGTCTGGTAAGACGTCTGACAAAGGCAGCACAGTAATACCTATTACGTCGACATTTCTGTTTTCAAACGAGTGGTTTAGAATGGCCTCATGTCAATAAACATGTTTGTGAAGAATCACAAAATATAAATTAGTTGCTAATAAAATTTACCTGCAATTAACAGACTATACATAGCTATGCATACCAATATTCTCATGATTTGAAGATCTAAATTAATGTAAACAGCCCCTTTCCACGTTCAAAGGACCTCGGTTTTCCTTTTTTCTCTTTCATCTATCTTTTTTTTTGACTCTCTTTCATCTAAGAAGTCTATCAGTATAGGGTTTATAAATATATTTATAAATATAAGTATAAATATATTCCTCATTTGTTAAAGGGGAATTCAGAAACATTAGTATTATGCATCAATACACAGTATATTACATAAATATACAGTGTCTAAATTCTTATGTGTGTATATATGTATATGTATGTATGTATATATGTGTGTGTATGAAGGAACTTCAAAAGGTATACAGAAAATTCCATAATTATGTAAGTCCATTTCCCACAAATTTTCTGAAGCCTTTTCACACATATACCACAAATTAACACGTGACTTGTAAGCAGAGCAGCAGGATTGTCCTAACAACACAAGTTTTGATCACCAATACCAAATAAAGATGTTTAAAATCACTGACTTATTGACTATCTAATTTATTAACCAATATTTTGTACTTAAGACAGTAGAAAAAAACAACCTACTACCTACTGTGTTGTGAATGAACAATATAATGAACAGGAAATGGACACCAAAGCGGTTATTTGCCAACTTTGATGAACTATTCTTCTTTTTTTTATTAAATATTTTTATACATCTTACATCTCTTATCACAGTCCATACTTTCATCCATTGTGTCAAGCACATTTGTACATATGCTGCCATCATCATTTCAAAGCATTTTCTTTCTACTTGAGCCCTTGGTATCAGCTCCTCATTTTCCCTCCTTCTTCTCCCCCTTCCCTCCTTCATGAACCCTTGATAAATTATAGATTATTATTTTCATATCATACATCATCCTCTGTTACCCTTCACCCACTTTTCTGTTGTTCTTTCCCCTGGGAGGGGGTTATATGTCTACACTTGTGATAGATTCCCCGCTTCCCCGCACCTTTCCTTTATCTTCCTGGTATCTCTATTCCCATTGTTGGTCCTGAGGGGTTTTATCTATCCTGGATTCACTGGGTTGCAGGCTTTTATCTGTAGCAGTGTGCAAGCTCTGGTCTAGTATGTAGAACTGAGGTCATGATAGTTGGGGGTAGGAAGCATTAAAGAACTAGAGGAAAGTTGTGTGTTTCATGGGTGCTTTACTGCACCCTGACTGGCTCGTCTCTTCCTTGTGACCCTTCTGTAAGAGGATGTCCAATTATCTACACATAAGAATGATGAAATTCAGCGCTTATATATCTATGCCCTTGGGCAGTAGTGCAATGATGTAGTCACCCTCTGTGTTGTGATCTGGTGTGTCACCCTTCACTTGTGCTTAATACCTTTTTCACCTAATGATCTGATCTTTGGACATTGGCAACCGTGCTGCTCAGTGAGCAGTGAGGGTAGCTTTCTGCAGTCTTCTTAGAAACTATTTTCTTTTAACCCATAGTGCATATTAACTGTGATTTTTAAAAAAAACACGTGTTATTTGCCCTTGAAACCTGTTATTTATCTTTCTGTGAACTAGGAAAATGGTTAAGATAAGGGAGGATGTGAACCTGGCATACCTTTCTATTATAAGCCTTTCGTGAAATTTCACTCAAGAACCCTCCCTTGGCAACATATTAGATAGCATAATGTTTTTGCTCTTATTGTTGGATTTTTTTTGTTTTAAGTGGTACATACCCAGTTTTCGGGTTGAATTGTGTTCCCTCAAGAGATATGTTCCATTCCTAATCCCTAGTATCTATGACCAGTATCTTAGTTGGGAAAGGGGTCATTGAAGAAGTAATTCATGAAGATGAAGTCATTAGAATAAACACTAATTAATATATTTATGACGGGTGTCCTTATTAAAAAAAAAAAAAAGGATGGATACAGGAAGACAGAGACACAGAGAAGAAAGCCACGTAAGGATGGAGGGAGAAGCTGCCCACAGGCCAGAGAATATCCTCAGCTATCAGAAGCTGGAAGGGACCAGGAGGGCACGTTCCCGGGCAGCCCTCATAGAGAGCATGGCCCTCCTGATGTCCTGGCTTGCGGCTTTCAGTCTTCACAACTGCGAGAGGACACGTTTTTGTTGTTTTAAGTCAACCAAACTGAAACCCAAAGCCCTGGCCATCGAGTGGCATCTGAGGCAGAGTGACCCTCTAGGGCAGTGGTTCTCAACCTTCCTAAGGCCGTGGCCCTTTCAGACACTTCCTCATGTTGTAGTGACCCCCAACCATAACATTATTTTCATCACTGTCATTTTGCTACTGCTATGAATCGTCATGTAAATATCTGATATGCAGGATATATTTTCATTGTTACAAATTGAACATAAGTAAAGCATAGTGATTAGTAACAAAAACAATATGTAATTATATATTGTGAAATATTTCTTTCTAATTGCAAATAAATGAAATATTGTCTTGAAGCATGGTATAGCATGAATAACAGTCCACGCTGAGTATTCGTATGTGGGCGTATCTGCATGTGGGCGGACCTGCCAGGGGAAGGATGGAGGAGCAGTGTCTTTTCCTAAGATCATCTGAAATATGTGTTTTCCAATGGTCTTAGGCAACCCCTCTGGGAGGGCTGTTCGACCCGCAAAGAGGTCACAACTAAGAATGTAAATCTTTATGGGAGGATATAGCCTCATCTCTCTCCCGAAGGACAGCTGGTAGGTTTGAACTACCAGTCTCATCATTAGCATCCCAGTGCTTATCCCACAATGTCATTATGTCACATAAAGCTATCCAGTTTTGGTGCTTGTTATGCCAGTCTTAGGAATTTAGTATACACGACGACTTTCAATGATGTAAAGAGTACTTTCACTGTTGTGTAAAATAGGTGAAAGGAAGCAAATATTTGCATACTCAAGAGTAGAATACATATAATCATCGCTGCCTTAAACAGCAGAAAGATCAAGGGTGCTTCCTCTTCTCACTATGTACTGGCAGATATAACAAAAGTGGTGTCTAGAAGGAGCTTGCTAACAAGGATGGCTTGCCAAGTGAAGTAGTGGCCCAAATGGGTTGATGATGTCCTCTTAATAGCAAAGAATGGCTAGAATTATTCATATCCAATGTTTCATGACTGTGTCTACCTAACTAAAGCATCCAGTCACTGGAGCACTCAAACGCTGTTTCTGTCTCAAAAAGCTATTCTTTGTTGCTGACTGAATTTCATTTAAGGTTAATATAATGAAAATCTTTGCATGTCTATAATACAATATTTTTAAATTACATACTTGATGTCTTACAAATATTAGTCATATATAAGGCTACCTCACTTGTCCGACCAGCATAACTGATGTGATCTAGATATCAATAATGTTTTTCAAAGAATGTTTCTCAGGTGAGTTATAAATAACCACAAAATATAGCTTAAAACAGTAAGTTAATAAAATGTCCATGAGAACTAAGCAGTTAGTCTTTATGAAAATTAAAAACCCTTAAGTTTATCCATTGTAGCTCTAAGAATATATCCTACTAAAGAAATAGCAGAAGCGCTTAACGATATAAGAGCAATTGTATTTGCTCCAACACTGATGAAATATGAAAGAAATGTAAATAATAATATATCAAAAGAAGGGTTGTGGAATAATATGTAGTATGATGAATCTCTATTTGGTCATTTAGAAAAAATAAGATAAATAGACATGTATTAAACAGAAATATGTTCGTCATATATTATTAAGTACAAACAAATATGTGGCAAACATATATGAGGTGCTTCAAAAGTTTGGAAAAGTAGAGTGTAATGATAATCACACACACACACATGGATACAATAATTGCATTTTATGATATACATGACACACACATACATTTATTAATGGTCATCTAAATACTTAAGTTGTATATAAATTATGAAAATATTTTTACTATTTAATTTATATTTTATATTTATTTAAAGTAAATTTAGGAAAAAATTCAAGAAGGACATGCAGCACATTTAGAGCAGTGATTACCATTAAGAAAGGGATTAATGGCTGCATAGAAGGTCATCTACTTCTTGTTTTACATACTTCAAAAATAACTGGGAGGATTTTGAGTGATTTATACAATTTACAATAGTTTAAATAAAATGGGAAAATTGTATTACACAAGGCATTTTTTAATCTCTTGAAGAATATATAACAAGTGACTGTAATGTTATTTTATGATAAGAAGATAAAATTATCTTCTAAAAATAAAAATAGATTCAAATGAACAATTTGTTAATCTATCACCTATATCCCTAGTATGTGTTTAAGGGGCAGGGAGAAGAGTAGTAAGATAATCTGCAAATTTATTTTACACCATTGTTTATATTTCCATGTAGCTACTATAAGCTAAAGGAGTTGAAGCTCACAATCTGTGTGACATTCATGTGGCTCAGGAGAACTGAGCAATTGATTTGACATTAAGACCACTAAAGGGTACATTTTAAAAGAATACTCACAAAAGCTACAGGACCTCAACAACTGTTCTGGTCACTCTTAACGAACTCACAAGGACAAGCATTGCGCTTATAAATGAAAATAACGTTTCCTCCCTATAAGCTTGTGGCCTTTAACGTCATCTACATATATGTAATATTAGATGGTAAGTTTTAAATCAAGTTCATGGGAGCCACAATATGACCTTGAGTCTATCCCACTTGAATTCGAGTAACATTTCAAGAACCAATTTGATGCATTGAACACTAAGGACAGAAGACGTGCTGAGCTGTGGGAGGACATCATGACCAGCATTCATGAGGAAAGCGGTCATTAACAAGAAGCAAAGAAAGAAAATATCAAAGTGGATGTCAGAAGAGACT